AGCGGTCCTTGGGGAGCCCAGACAGGGGCAGACCCTAAAGGAGGGCAGCGGACCTTGGCGCGAGGCCGCAGACATGCGGGTGGCCGAAGCCCTTGACCAGGTCCAGCCTCCACCCTGGGCCGCGGACGCGCGGGTGGCCGAATCCCTAGGGGGGAGAGGCCCCTCGTCGGCGTCGGGGCGCGGAGACGTCCTCGGGGGGCCCGCTGCTGGGCAGACCCAGAAGGGGGGCGGGGAGCTCTGGAGCAAGGCCGCAGACGTACGGGTGGCCGAAACCCTTGACCGAGCTCAGCCCCATTCCAGGGCCACGGACGCGCGGGTGGTCTAAGCCCTTGGGATGAGGGCCCCCTCCCAGCGGCTGGCGTCGGGACGCGGAAGCGTCCTTGGGGAGCCCAGACAGGGGCAGACCCTACAGGGAGGGGGAGGCGAGCTCGTGCTTGAGGCCGCAGACGTGCGGGTGGGCGTTTCCCTCGACCGAGCTCAGCCTCCGCTCAGGGCCACGGACGCGTGGGTGGTCGAGCCCCCTGAGCCGAGCGCCCCCTCCCAGGCGCTGGAGGACCAGAAGGGCATGCACAAGCGCAAGTTCGGCCTGGACCTGGACGAAGACAGGGGGGCCAGTGCAAGCGCGAGGGCGGCCTGGGCCTAGGCGCGAACTTGTGCGCGTGCGAGGACTGGTCGGAGTGCGGCGGCCTTGGCGGCGGCAGGCTTCCTGTCGGCGCGCGAGCTCCTGGAGGCGAGGGCCGCCTCTCGGACCTCCCTCGCCGCGGCCAGCATCCTCCTGGGGGTCCCACTCGAGGCCCCGCACCAGCTCGCGGGCGTCGCGGGCTGAGTCGCCGTGACTGCTCGGGTGTCGTTTTCCGCCTGCTTCGGCTGGGGCGGGGGGTGGCTTCTCGGCACTCAGGCGAATCTGCGTGCGTGCCTTGGGCACGAGACCGTGCGTTGCCTACGCAGGGCCAGAGGGACACGCATCTGTCCAAGGGGCAGTACGTGCTGGGAGCTCCTGACCTCTTTAGACGCGTGGATCATCGTCACCATCATCATTATCATCATCATAATCATCATCATCATCATCATCATCATCATCATCATCAACACCAACATCAACATCATCATCATTATCTGGCTGATAGTCGTATCGGTAAGGGTCGTGTGCGTACATGCATATGTATACGTATATGCATATATATATATATATAACATATTTACATACAGGTTATAAGGCAGGCGGGCGGTCCGCGCGATCTCAACTCGGTGTTTCGCGCTCTCTGGTCGGGGCCTCTGGTCCTGGCTCGTGGCCTCTGGTCGCGGTCTCTGGGCGCGGTCTCTGCGTGGTCTCCCCGGCGGCCCCAACAAACAATGACGATCGAAGGTCCCGTCACGGCCACACGCAGTCAGACGCCTTCCCTATGGTGCCCTTGCGGCCTGGCATCTCGGCCCATCCTTGGCCCTGCGATCTTACACGCCGGTCGTTGGAAGTGGGTGTTGCTGGATTCCCAGGTCCCAATCGATTGCAAGCGCCTTCTTGCTTCAGGAATCGATATACTCTGGCTGTGCTTTGTTCTGCTCTGGGAGGGCCCGAACCCAATCTACTTAATCCGCCTTCCTGCTTCAGGAATCGATATGCTGTTGCTGTGTTTTGTTATTCTCTGGGAGGACCTGAGCCCAATCTACTTGATCCGCCTTCCTGCTTCACGACTCGACGTGCTCTGGCTGTAAATTGTCACATTATTTGGGAGGGCATAGCTGCTTACTCCGCCTTCCTACTTGATGCCTCTGCCTGCTTCTTCCGACCGACGTATGCAGCCATGGGCCGCGGGCTGTCGACGTTGGCGTCAGCTTGGGCGTCATGGCCTTTCCTTGGCATCGCTCGGACGCGTGCATGTGTCCTTCGGCGGGGACCATCGAGGAACATCCTTGATCATTTGGCGGAGAAAACCACGCACGACACCGAAAAAAAAACACAGGGAGTGGACGTCCGAGCGATGGCCAGCTTCAGAGGCAGCGATCGGGGAGGGGATCGGCTTAGAGTTAAGTCGGACAGTTAAACATATAGCCTGGGGATTATTTTTCGAGTATTTTCTGGCATTGTGGGCGAATTTCTTTGTATACATATATATATATATATATATATACACATATATATATATATATATATATATATTATATATATATATATCGTCCAGATTCCCCATGTAGGGGGACACGCCCGACTTAAATGTAGAGGGGAGCGCATCGACCCCCAAACGCCCACTCATCGCAGATAGGGGGCCCGGCAGCCCACCCCTCCCGGGAGCCCTGCGGCTTCGCTCATCGGGGGTGTTTTTTTGTTGTTGCTGTGTCGGCGAGGCGCTGCCGATGCGAGCTCAGTGTCTTCCCTCCTGGGCTGGTCCCCCCCTCCCTCCTCCCCCCTCCCTCCCTCCCTCCCTCCTCCCTCCTCCCCCCTCCCCCCTCCTCCCCCCCCTCCTCCTTCTCCCTCCTCCCTCCTCCCGAGCGTTTCCCTGGTCCCCAGGCGCCCGCCGATCTGATTGTTTTGTCGATCCGCGGCCCGCCCCTCAGAGGTCCCGACCCCTTCCCCCGGGGTGCTTTCTCTCCCGGGATCCGGTTTTGATGGCCCCTGGGGCCTGACAACAGCCGCCGAGGGCCGACGTCTAGGACAAGAGCGCCCTCTGGAACACAAAGGTGTCGCCTGAGACCTGGGTCCACATCGCGCATCCTCATGATCTGGTCGCACTGTAGCTGCTCGGTGAGGCGATCGGGCGTAAAGGTGTCCATGGCCCAAGGTGTCGCCAGGATCCCTGAGGAGGCCCAGATGGCGTCCAGAGAACCTCTCACGAGGCCCAGAGGGCCCCAAGGGGGTTCCAACACGGCGCGAAGAGCTGGCGACACCCCTCGACCTGCACCTTCCGCACCTGCCGCGCGGCAGGTGCTGCGCTGCCGCGGCCGCCACCGCGGCCGCCGCTTTGGCCCACCGTCGAGCCCGCATCGCGGCGGCACCTTCCGCACGGAAGGTGCGGAAGGTGCAGGTCGAGGGTCCTGGGCAACGCCTGACATCCGCCAGCATGAGTTTGTTTAACCCGCGGCCCCCGCGAGGTCCCGGCCGCTTGCCCGGGGCAGTCGTCCGCCCGCGGATCTTCTTGCTGATGGACCCTGGGCGCGAAGACGGCCCCCGAGGGCCGAAATTGAAGAAGGGACGCCGGGGTTGAGCACAACCCGCGTCGTCGGAGATCTGGGACTACAGTCGGGGCCCTGAAGAAGGAACCCTTTTCGTTGGGGAGGGGCTACGTGTTCCGTAAGTGTTTCGCAGCTTGCCTGGGATTCTCCTCAGGTTGTCGATACGAAATCGAAGTTCAACCTATGGAAAATAGGGGCCTCGTTCCTTGTTTAGGGTTCCTTAAGGTCAATGCCTCGACTGTAGCCGCCGCGGCGGGCCTGCCGCAGCCGGGGGCGCGAATGGGGCGGAGGGGGGCGAGAGGGCTGCGGCGCCCGCCGCGGGGCGGGCTCCGGGGCGGCCGGCACCATGGCCGCGGGGGGCGAAACAGTCGAGTAGTGGATCGACTACAGAATCGGTTTACCCCGAAATTCGATTTCTGTCGAATCCGTGTATAGGTTCGCGTCGTGTCGACCGGCGGCGACCCCGCCGCCGACGTTCAACTTTGAATGCCGACGGCGGCCCAGAATCGGTCGATGTTGAACGATCGGACGTTGCGGAGACGGCCGATCGTTCAAGGTTGAACGATCCAGCGCGGTGTCGGGAACCAACGCCGGGGTCGACACGACACGAACCTGCAGTAAAATGATACGTACTTTCGCTGTAGATTCGACGAGGGAGTCAATTTAGGGGTAAACCGATTCTGTAGTCGTTCCCCTACTCGAAAAAGGCGAAAAGGGGCGGGCGTCCTCGCCTTTAACTACCTTCTCGCGCTTCGCGCGAGGGCGGCGAGGCGTCGTACCGCCTGCCGCCATCAGCACCCACTGGGGCTCCGTGCCGGAAAAATCGCTGGGGCCTCCTGGGGGGGGGGGCTCCTCGAGAAAGAGGGCGGGCGGCAGGGCGAGGGCCTGGCCGCGGCTCGGGGCCAGAGGGCGCTTCGCCCCCGGCCGTGCCGCCTGCTGTCTCATGGGTGTCTTCTGGTGCCCCCCTCGGTGTCCCCCTCGGTGTGCCCCTCGGTGTGCCCCTCGGTGCCCCCCTCGGTGCCCCCTCGGTGTCCCCCTCGGTGTCCCGTCCCTCGGTGTCGTCTTTTGGTGCCCCCTCGGTGCCCCTCGGCGTCCCCCGGCCTCGGCGCCGCGCCTCGCGTCAGGCCGCCCCGCGGCGTGGGCTCGGGGCTGGCTGACGCGAGGCGTGTCGGACTGCTATAGCCCATTTGCGCCGGGCTGGCCGTGCTCCTCAGCAGCCGCGCGCGTCCCGCCCACGAGGTGGGGCACCATGATTTCGGGGGCGCCCGGCCCCTCCCGCGGCGCCCACTGCTCCAAGTCTGCAGGAGGTTCAGGGCATCGCGGCATCGCCAGGTCCAGGATTTGAGCAGCCTGCCTGCCCTCACCGCCCTCGGGAAAGGGTAGACTCAGAAGCAGTGCAGGCGAACATACGCTCGATCTCCTGTGCGAGGGAAGGTCATTGAGGGCATGTCTCGGAACAAAACATACGTGTTTAACCAGGTGGGCATCCTTTGCTCCGCGTTAAATGCTCATTCATTGCGTCCAGGCAGCTCTGCTTGAACTTTCGACCTGGCGGCCCTCTGGAACATATTGAAATTGTTGTGGGCGCCATCGCGAATACAATGTTGCTGCCGCAGGCGCCATCACCGCTGCCACCGTCGTCGTGATCTGCAGCGCACGCCGTCAATTCCATCCAGATGTGCGGAAGACATGGGCTGTCCTGAAATGCAAGCGCACATCTGCGATGCTGAGAGTGCGCCCAGTATTTGGTAACAAACATTCTTGGCTCAACATACCAGCACATCGAGTTCAGACAGTCGGACTCATCAACAACATCTCAAGCCGTTGCGGCCATGGCATATGAGGATGGCTCCGGCTACATTGACGGACCCGATGAGGAATGCGACGAACACGTCGAAGAAGACGTTGGCCATGCCAACAACGAGTACGAGGAGCTGACCGTCGTCCAGGAGTGGTTGAGCAGACCAGGACCAGATTGGGCTCATGTTGTGGATGTCAGTCGCGGGCTTTCTAAGCCAGAGCTGGGGAAGCTGCTCCACAGACATCTCGAAGACGTGTGCGTGACAGGCTATTTGTCTGTGATGTCCTCCGCCGACGTGGGCGACAAGGTGGCGCGCGCTCACGTTGTTGTCCAGGACGGGCCTGAGTTCCTCAAGAATCGCCACGTGCGCATCTACACAATGCCACATCGTAATCGTGCCAGGCAGGGCGATAAGGTATGGGTGAAGATCCTGTGTTCTGAGGTCGATTCTTGCGCGGACGAGGATGGCGAACACTGGGACCCGTTGCGCTGTGCGTGCATCTTCGGCACAGTTGTCCGAGCATCGAGACGCCTTGATCGCAACGAGTATGTGTGCCGCATGGCGCAGGTGCAGTGGCGGCGGGACCGCCAGATATTCTTGCCCTTCTCGCCAGAGATACCCGCACTGTGGGCTGAATGTGCCGCCGGGTCCGAGCAGGGAGATTCAGAAGACCGGCAGCTCTACCGTCTCTACAAGCTGCGCATTGTCGATTGGCCAGTGGGATCTCCACGACCTCAGGCAGAAGTCGTCCACTCGTGGGAGCAGCCGCGCGACCAAGCATCGTGCCTAGAGTCGTACCTCGAGGACCTTGGCGACATGTGGAAGTCGGCGCTCCCCCAGCCTACGGAGGCGCCTACCGACGCCTTCTCCAGCGGACGCATGGACCTCCTGAATCGCAACGTCTTCACCATCGATTGCGATGGTGCACGGATTCTCGATGACGCATTCGATTTCAACCAGGCAGAGCATACCGTCAGCGTGCACATAGCCGACGTTGCAGCTATCGTGGCCAGCAACTCCGAGGTGGATTGCGCAGCAGCGGAGCGCGGCTGCGCCTTGCATCTGCGCGACCACAGCGGTGAGCTGCGCTTCACCAGCCAGATGCTGCCAGATGGTATCCTCGAAGCGGCCAGCCTCAGCCCAGACGGGGCGCGCAGGGCCATCACTTTCGAGTTCCGAGTGGGCGGCGGGAGGATCACGGAGAAGAGGTTCTTCCGCTCCTGGGTGCGCTCGAGGGCGCAGCTGAGCTTCCGCCAGGCCACCGAGGCGCTCCGAGGCGGCGACGCCGGCGTGCCGGTGGACGTGCCGTGGCTCCGAGACACCATCAGGCGGCTGCACGACGTCACCGTGGCGCTCGAGGACGCGAGGGCCGCGGGGGACCCCGGCGTCCGCCTCCGCAGCACGGCCACCAAGGTGGGAGCCGACGACGAGCTCCCGGCTCAGAGGATCGTCGAGTTCTGGATGTCGCAGGTCAACGAGCTGGCCGGCGAGGAGCCAAGAATAGGAAGCGGCACAAACAGAGAGCTCCTGGCGCGCTCCAGCGCCGATATCCCAGATGTCCGCGCGGGCCTCCGCCAAGTTAAGCACGTGCGCGTGCGCTGACGTCGTTGTGTCTTCCCCCGGAGGAGCTCGGCCGAGCGGGGCGCGCGGGCTCGTGCGGCCTGGCGTTCCCGATCCCCGACGGTGCGCACTTCTCCAGGCTCGCGGCGACGTGCAGGCAGTCGACTGGGCGTAAGAGTGACCTTTCGCCGGAGTGGCCTTTGGTGTGGGCCCGGTGGGGTCCCCCGACCGCTGAGCGCGAGGAGGTGGCAGCGGCTGGCGCGCCAGGGTCTGGCCGCCTCGAGTCCTCCGTTGAGTCGCGCACCAGAGGTCGCTCTTCAGGCGGCCCAGATTAGCAGGTCGTCCCTGCCAGATCCAGGGTACCCTCGTGTCCCGTGCCCTCTCGCGCGCCCTCTCGCGTGTCCTGTGCCCCGTGCCCTCGGAAGGATCCTGTGTCCTCTCGCGTGCCCTGTCGAGGAGGAGGAGGGGGATGAGGAGGAGGAGGAGGAGGAGGAGGAGGAGGAGGAGGAGGAGGAGGAGGAGGAGAAGGAGGAAGCCGACTGTTGCTTCGGGCCGCTCCATGCGCGTCGCCGAAGGCAGGCGCTGCTGGACGGCGCCGGGCGCGACGCCGAGGGCGCGGGCGCCCTCGCCTCGGGCCTGCGCGCCTCCGCGGCGCGGTGCCGCGGCCACCTCGCAGATGCCCTGTCCCACGTGATGCGCCGCCGCGGCGGCTCGGGCCAGGGCGGGTGGGGTGGCGCGGCCGCGCGGGCGGGCCTCTCCAGGCAGCAGCGTGAGGCTCAGGGGGGGGGGGGAATGGAGGAGGAGGAGGAGAGGGAGGAGGAGGAGGAGGAGGAGGAGGAGGAGGCGGAGGAGGAGGAGGAGGAGGAGGAGGCTCCTCCTCCTCCTCCTCCTCCTCCTCGTCCTCCTCCTCCTCCTCCTCCTCCTCCTCCTCGTCCTCGTCGTCGTCGTCGTCGTCGTCGTCGTCCTTCTCCACCTGCTCGTGCTGGAGAGCTCTCGCCGCCATGGCTGGGTTCTCCTCGAAGGTCTGGTCGGAACGCACCCCGGGGAGAGGTCCAGGGCGCAGCGGTATCGGTGCCTCCTCCGTCGACTCCAGAGGCGGCAGGGGCGCTGCTCCCCATGATATACGCGCACACCCCGGCGCCGTTGTACTGGGCCACCGCGCCAGGCTCGGGGGCCCCCAAACGGGGTGGTAACCACACCCTGTGGTGGGTCGGTGGGGATTCGGGGTCACCGCACGGTTTTGGGACTTTGGTCGTCCTCCGAGGATGTCTCGGGCGACTGGGGCATCCAGGCCCTGGATGCCCCAGTCGCCCGAGACATCCACACGGTTCTGGGACCCTGGATTCCAGGGTCCTAGAAACGTGTGGTGACGGACCCTGCGGTGAGGTCTCTGGGGATTTCGAGGTCACCGCTGGGTCTGTCACCACACGGTTTTGGGACCCCCAACAGGCCGGGCGTGGCCAGAGCAGTGGCCGATCCTGCACGGAGAGCGGTACTTCCAGGTGGGCGACGCAGGGAAACGGGTTCGTTTTCACCGGCACCGGCACGTCCCGCTTAAGGTCGCGCGTAAGCGCCCTCGTTTCTAATGTGGCGTGCCGCGCTGGCGGACCGCAAGCCACCGCGTAAGGTCGCTATGCCATCTCGCGCAACACCCGTTTCTTTTCGTCGTTCAGGTGACGTCACCATTGCGACGATGGGTTGATTTGCTTGGGCAGCGCTTGCTGTTTGGCTGCCAGGCCACACTGGAGGGCTTGAGCGACAAGCTCGGCCACTACAACGAGATGGCGCGGCTGTCCAGGAAAGCCAGGGTCGAGTACCAGATGCTCTCGCTATCCATTTCTCTCTCACAAGCGGAACGCGTCTTTCCCTGCGTGATTGGCAGCTTGAGTTCATCCTCCGTGCAACTCATGTTTCCTGCCGTGCCCGAGATGCCCAGGCCGCTCACGATACCGCTGGGCGTCCTGCAGAGCGAGTGCGTTGCTGTCCGACACGACCCCGACGCTGGCAGAGCTACGCTGACGAGGTTCCCAGGCGAAGACTCGGTGGACCTGGTGCCCTTCAGCACGGCCGTCCAGGTCCAGGTCGGGGTCAACCAGTCCGGCCCCGTCCTGCTGGGCAGGCTGGCGGCCGTGGCCCTGGAGGTGCCCCTGCCGGGCGGCCCGCTGCGGCATGCCGTGCTGCCCCGCCAGTTCCCCGAGGTCTTCGGGCCTCCCCCGGATCTGCGCCGCATGCCGAGGGTGGGCGCCGATGCCGCCGAGTGGACCCGGGTGTGGCACCTGGCGAGGGCGGCGCAAGTCTGCGCGGGGGCCCTCGTGCCGCGGGAGCGGGTATCGAAGGCGCCTGCGGCGAGCCTCCGCCGCCACCACGCCCTCGGGGAAGCGCCGGCGTGGTGGGCCATCGAGCGAGGGTGCGGCCACGCGCAGCGGACTGCGTGCTCCCCCAGCGCTCGGGGAAGGCGCCTGGGGAGTTCTGGGGAGGGGCCCTCTGACTCTTTGGTCCCTCTTGGGCCGCTTTTGGCGCCCCGTGGGCCTTCTTGAGGGCCTCCGGGGGCTCTCCGGGGCCCTCCTGCGCTGTCTCGGGGTGGTCTCGGGTCATCTGGCGGCTTCGAAGACCGCTCGGGGGGGCCTATCTGGAGCGTCTCTTGGGGACCTCTCGGAGCTCTCAGGGGGCCATCTTGGGCCTCTAGTGTGTGGTCTTGGGGCCGTGTTTGGGCCGTGTTGGGGCCGCTGTCTTGGTGCCCTCCAGGGGGTCTCTTTGGTCATCTTGGAGCGGCCTTGGGGGCCTCTTGGGCCGCCTTGGGCTGTGGGAAGCCAGAGAAGGCAGGAACGCTGAAACGGTTTTCAAAAACCCAGCGGGAATCAATACGTTTGGCCTCCTGTGGGCCTCCAGGAGGTCATCTTGAAGGCCTCTTGGAACGTCTTGGGGGCCCCGTGTGAAGTCTTGAGGCAGTCTTGGGCCGTCTTGGAGGCATCATGGGCTCTTGGGGTAATACTGTAAATTTGTCCATCTCGGAGGCTATCTTGAGGGTCTTGGAGGCCATCTTGGGCCGTCTTGGAGGCCCTCTTGGAGCCATCTTGGACGGAGAACCCACGGGGTGCACTTTTTCTGGGGCCTTCGGCGCCCAGCACCCCTCCGTCAGGCGATGGGGGCGTCGCATCGAAGACGCCTGCGGGGAACCACCGCCGCCCCCTGCTTCTTGGAAGCGCCTACGTGGCCAAACGTTGGGCCAAAGTCTGGCCAAGCTAAGTTATTGGACTGTTGTGATTCCCCCCAGCCGTCGTGAGAATTCTTGGTGAAACATTTGGGGCGGAGGGGAGGAGGAGGCAGACTGGGTGCGTGCGCCACATCTGACACCATGCCTATCCCACCCATCCCGTCCAATTGTTCTGATGTCAGTCTTGCTATCCGCCGACGGGGGTCCTAGCGTACCTAGATGTCCCACATACTCCTCTCGTGGGATGCATTATCAGCAAGGCAGCTGTACGCATTGAGGGAGAATGAGGAGGAGGAGGAGGAGGAGGAGGAGGAAGAGGAGGCGCAGGAGCAGGAGGATGAGCAGGAGGAATGAAAGAACGAATGTCGTTCGTGGTCCAAAATGTGTCTCTGCTAGCTTGCTGTGCACTAGAGTGTGCATTGTAACAACGAGCGGACATGAGGAGGAAGGGGAGATGAGGACAAACGCTACAAAGCTTGGCACTTGGAGCCCGCCCAACCCAACCCACAGGAGGATGAGGAAGGAGGAGGAGGATCAGCAGCAGCAGCAGCAGCAGCAGCAGCAGCAGCAGGAGCAGGACAAGGAGGAACAGGAGGAGCAGGAAGACGAGGGGAAGGCGGAGAAGGGGAAAGGCTTGGGGCGACAACGACGAGGGCCGACTCGTGTCCCGCAACGTCGCCAGGGCTCGGGCGAGAGCCATTCTGAACGATGGGAGCCAAGCGCCGATCGTGAAAGGAGGCCAGCGCTGCAGCGGGAACACCGTCTTGACAACCCACAGGGCCTTTTGGTGCCTCTTAGGGGGTATCGGAGATGCCTCTTGGGCAGGTGTTGGGACAAGGAAGGCTAGGGGGCACCTGGCCTGGCGCCTTTTCGAAGTAGGCCGAAAAGGTCCCTGGCTGGACTGGCTGCACCATTAGCAGACACTTCCCTGGCACCTCCTGCTATACGAATTCTCTGTTATGTTAGAAGGTTCGCCGAATATGGAAGTGGACGGGGTGGTTCCCAGCGGGATGCCTGGCGCAATCGCAACTCATGGCAGAGCCATTGGGTGGAGCGATCGATGACGCAACCCGTGGCAGACCCACTGGGCCAGTATGGAAGTTGACGATGCTATTTGCAAGCGGGGCGTCTGCCGCAGCCTATGGTGCATCCCATGGCAGACGCAGTGGCTGGCGCAGCCTATCGCAGACCCACTGGGCACACCGAGCACAGAAACGGACGAGTTGGTTGCACGTGGCTGTCTGGCGCATCCTACGGCTGGCGAAGCCCATGGTGCAACCTCCGGCAGGCCCAGTGGGCACACCGGTTATGGAAACGGACGCGTCGACTGCCCACGGGGTGTGCCGCGCAACCCTTGGCGCAACCCGTGGCGCAACCTATGGCAGGCACGCTCGGTGGCGCAACCCGTGGCAGATCCACTTGCCCCATTCAATATGGGCACGCACGATTTGGTAACCTCAGGGATGCTCGACGCATCCGATGGCCGACCCACTGGGCACACCGAGTAGCCAAACTGACGAGTTGGTTGACCGCGATGTGCTTGGCGCAACCTGCAGCGCAACCTACGGCAGTCACGCTGGGTCGCACAATCAATCGCGGAATTCCTGGTCCACCCAATGGGCACGCCGAATGTGTAAGCGAGCAGGTCGGTTGCATGCAGGGTGTGTGGCGCAACCTCTGTCGCAACCGGCGGCGTATACATCGGGCACACAGGAGCTACCGTGTTAGTTTCCTGTGGGGCGTATGGCGCAGCCTACGGCACATTATGTGCCCGACTGATGGCGCAGCCTGCAGCACAGCCGCAGCACTGTGAGTACGGACACTTGCGATTGGGTTGCCCAGGTGGGGGGGGAGCTGTCGCAACTTTTTGCGCAACCTATGGAAGACCCAGTGGGTGACGCAACTTATGTGACGCCTATGGCCTACGGCACACGGACGTTTTGATGGCCCATGGCCTATGGCATATTTGCTTTGAAGCCTATGAAGCTTATAGCCTATGCCATACCCGTTGTCTGGCGCAACCTGTGGCGCAACATATGTCAGACCCACTGGGGTACGCACGAGACCTCTGGCGCAACCTATGGCAGACCCATTGTATGTGACGGTTTTTAGAACGGCCGGATGATCGGATTGTTTGCGGGGTGTCTGTTGCAACCTACATAACAACCCATGGCAGACCTGTTGGGCACACCAGGGATGGACACAGACGGTGCCGCTGCCCGCTTGGAGCCTTGGGTTTTTTTTATTACGAGTAAGGAAGCGAACGATTCAGTTGCCAGCGGGGTGTCTGGCGCAACTTATGGCGCAGCCTATGGCATACCCACTGAGTGCGTGACCTCTGGCGCAACCTATGGCGGACCCATTTCTTACGTCGGGTAAGGGGACGGGCGACTCAGCTGCTCGCGGGGTGCCTGGCACAACCCGTGTCGCAACGTACGGTGCACCCGCTAAGGCATCGCCCGCTGTGACTGCCCGCGGGTGTGTTTGCTGCAGCCCATGGCGCGAACTGAATCGCACCCAGTCGGGGTTTTGACGATGTCTCCGCGGGGCGCTGGCACAAGCTACGGCGCACCTGCCGGGGCAGCGGGCGATCTGAATTGCTCACGGGGTGCTGAGCAGCTTGCGGCTCAACCTGTTGCACATGTTGGTTGGCGCCCCTTTGCGATTCGGCTTGCTCTCTGGCCGCCGATGACGTGGCCCACTGCGCACACGCTGGCGGGCAGTTGGATGTTCGGCCGCCGAGGGCGCAATCTATTGCGCACCCTCTAGCGGCAGTGAAATGTTCGGCCGCCGAGGGCGCAACTTGTGGCGCACCCGCTAGCAGGCATATTGATTGTGGGCTGCATGGCGCATCGCCACGGCGCAAGCCATGGATCGCGCAACCAGCGCGGCCAGTGGCGCAGCCCATGGCTGGCGCAGCCTGTGGAGCAGCCCGTCGGCGGCGGAAGCCATGGCGGACTCCAGTGGCGGACCTTCTGGGAGGTTCCACGGGCCTGCGCCCGATGCATGCTCGCCGCTGTGGGGCCGGCGGCGCGGCCGAAGCGGCGAGGCGCCCTGTGATTCCACAGTGTCTTGGCTTCCGGAAGGCGCGCGCAGCACGCCCCGAGGCCAGGCGCGCCCGAGCGTTGCCGCCAGTCTGAGCCCTTGAGCGTCCCACATCATGCCTGCGATCGGTCACGAGTGTAGGAGCCTCGGGGCACCCCACTGCGTCGTGGCGTGCTCGAAGCACGCCGGCGGATCCCCGCCCTATTTTCACAGCATGACGTGCGACGCGGAGGCCGTGTCGTGGGCTCGCCGAGGAGACGCCGAGACGATGCACGCCACGGTGCTGGGAACTTACCGCGGCCTGGCGGGGCTCGTCAGACTCCGCGAGGGGCACCTCGCCATAGCACAGGTCCGCGGCTCCCAGGACAGGCGCTGGACGGGCTACGGCCGCATCACGGACTTCGGCGGCGAGCGGGGGGGGGGGAAGGGAGAAGGAGAAGGCCTTCTCAGAAGGCGGCGGGCCTTCTCGGAAGCCCTCGCGCCTTCTGAGAAGTGCTCTGCGTCTTCGGGGAAGGCCCCGGGAAGCTCCTTCTCAGAAGGCTTGGGGGGGGGGCTCCCGAGCCTTCGGCGCAGGCCCGCCCCTTTTCGCACTCCCCCCCCGGGCGCGCCGCCCGAGGACGTGGAGGAGAGAGAGGAGCTGCGGAGGAGGACGCAGCTGTGCGAGTGGGTCCTCCGGGGGCAGCCCTGCCGGCGGCCCCCCGGCGACTGCTGGTTCGCGCACGGGGACGCCGAGCTGGCGCCGCGGCGCGTGCGGGTGATCGTGGAGCTCGGCGCCAGCTCCTCCGCGGCGATGCCCCGCTGGGCGAGCCGGAACGGCGCCCGGGTGGAGCTGGAGCTCGTGCGGGTGACGGAGCACGAGCGGCAGAGCCTGGACGACCTCGCGCGGCGGGTGCACGGCGCGCTGACGAGGCAGGTGCCCGCCCTCGTGCAGGGGCTGCTCTTCCCCCGCCAGGCCCGGGCCGTGCGGCAAGGGCCGCGGCGCGAGGGCGACGCGCCGCCCGACGGCCCGCCCCGCGGGGCGCGGGGGGGCCGCCCGCCGTACGCGGAGGGGCTGCCGGCCCTCAACGACTTCCAGGAGCGGGGCTCGAGACCCAGACCCCCTCGAGTTATGAAAAAATCACGACGGGAGGTTTTTCGCCATTTTCGGCCTCTGGGGGGCCTTACCGGCCCTCGGGACCGTCGAAAAACGACTCAGGACGAAGAACCGGTCCCGGGGGATGGGTCCAGACCGCTGGGGGTCGACGTCATGAAAAATTCATGACGTCGGGGGTCTGGGGAGACGTCAAGCAGTGGCGAAGCGTCCTGGCGTGCCGATGGTCCCCTACCAAGCAATGTTCTCGGCACCTCTGTTGTGGTTCCCACGGCACGTTCTGGGAGCACTTCTGGTTGGGACGGTCTTGTTCGATCACATGGGGCTTGATGTTCTAAGAGCATTGCTCTTGTTCTTCGAGCATGTTTGGGGTTCTAAGAACATGTCGTGGTAGGACTATAGGAATGCCGGGACGGTCTGTCCCTGCTCAAAGACGGGGGTCGTCGCAGACGGGGGTCGGCCAGAGCGCCGGCTCCTGGCGGGACCCTGCGGGGCCAGGGCTGCCTCGGCCCAGGCCGTCGGGTGCAGGACCCATCCCGAAGGGCCTCGCAGGCTCCTGCGGAGCCCGCCGCGCCCCGCCCGACAGGAGCGCGCCAGGGCCATGGCGCTGCGCGAGCCGCTGTGCTACGTGCAGGGGCCCCCCGGCACGGGCAAGAGCACCACGGCCGCCCACCTGATCTGCAGCCTCATGGAGGAGGGCCCGGCCGCGTGGCCGGCGAGGGCCGGCGCCCGGCTCCTGGTGTGCGCCCCGTCCAACAAGGCGTGCGACAGGCTGCTCCAGCTGGTGTCCGGCTCTCCCGGGGCGGGGAGCCCTCCCAGAGATCCAGCGCATGGAAGACGTCACGACGGCGGTTTCTCGTAAATTTCGGCCCCTATAGCAGGGGCCCTCACGGGGCCCCGGGGCCGTCAAAAAACGACTCGGGATGCAAATCCGGTGCTGGGGAATGGGTCGAGACTTCCGGGGACCGCGCATTGAAAAAATCACGACGTCGGATCTCTGGGCTGACATCCGAGGCGGGAATTTATACATGACCACCGCCTGGAGAGTCAGTTTTCGGAGCCTCGGCAGGCGGTGGATATGGACGTATTCGGGCCCCCGGGGGCCGAACTTTATCCATATGCACCGCCCGCTGGGGCACCAGGACGTCGGTTCCAGGCGGTGGATGTGGATAACTCCCCGCCTCGCATGACACGATCTCGCGCAGGGCGGGCGGTTTGGGGCCGTTTTCGGCCTCGGGGGGCCCTCGCCCGGGCCTCGGGGCCGTCAAGAAACCGCTCGGGATGACAGACCGGTCTGGAGGAGAGGGTCAGGACTTCCAGGGGCACCGTGCCGAAGAACAAAACAAAACGTCGCACGTCTGGGAGGCCAGCCCGACACCCCCAGAGGCCGCGGTGCGCCTCTGGCGGCCCCCCTCTCGTGCGAGGGGCGACGCCGTCCTGGCCCACAGGAGACAGGAGAGAGAGAGAGAGAGGCAGTCGAAGAGGGCTCCGAGAGAGCCCACGATGACCTCCAGAGAGCCCCGAGACAGTCCAAGGCCCTGGGATGCAGTCGTTGCAGTTCTTCCACGCCGGGCGTTCTCGCCCGTCTTCGGGCCCCGGGGCCATCCCAGATCGACACTTGCCTCGACAAGTGCAGCAGAAAGAGTCTATAGGGCCCGGGTCGTGAGTTTGCGCGATGTCGCACTTATTGGCAAAGTCTGATTTCAGGGTAAACAGCCCTGGGCGTTTACTACACCCTGAACAGCCCCGCCCTGCTCGACCCATTCCCTAGGTGCATTTGCCAGCGGGCTCCGCTTGTCGGGGTGCTTTGGTGAGGGATGGCGCTTCTGCCCTCCAGGCTCGGAGCTGCCTTCCCAGAAGAGGCTGGTGCGCATCTACGCGCACTCCATCGAGAGGATGTACTGGCCCGATCCGACGGCAGGGGAATTCGAGCAGCGCGACTTCAGCATCAGCCCAGAGCTTGAGCGCTTCGCTCTGCACAACCTCGTCCAGCAGGGCCATCGCGAGCTCTACCGCGACTTCGAGCAGGTCAACCGCGATCTGAAGGGCGTGGACGGCGATCTCAAAAGGCCGCAGCTCCCCAGCAAGCTGCGGGAGCTGGACGATAAGCTGCAGCAGCTGAAGGATACAAAGATGACGGCCATGAGGGAGCTGGCGGCGTCCGCAGACGTAGTGTTCTCGAAGGAGAAAGACGGCACAAAGATAAACTTCCGGAGCTCCCCGCGGATTCCTTGAATCGGCGCTGGACCCCATGGCGATGCCTCTGGCGCCTCCCCTGGCCTGCGCGCCAGGCAGGGGGTCCCAGCGACGATCCAAGAAATCCCGCGCGGAGCTCCGAAAATTCACGCTTGCGCAAGTTACTGCTTCTTCGATATTCGCGACCTGCGACGTCGCTGCACACCACCCAGTGCTGAAGAGGGCGGTGTTTGCGGCGCTGGTGATCGACGAGGCCGCGCAGGCGGGTGAGGCGGACCTGGCCGTGTGCTGCCTCTCCGCCGAGCAGAAGATCGTCTTGTTCGGGGACCACAACCAGCTCGGGCCAGTGATCACAGAGGTCTCGAAGATAAAAAATCTCAGAGGAGGAAACGGTACTGGTATCGCTGCTCGTCCTGGAGAGCCCTCGTCGCCACGACTGGGTTCGCTTCAAAATCTGGGTCAGACCCGCATAGTAAGGATGGGCAACCTTCCCAAGGGTACCCCTGCATCCTTCCCCTTCGGCCAATCCTTGGCCGCTTTCGCTGGCCGCGCCCCGCCCGAAAAGTATCGACATGACCTTCCAAGGCCCTTGCATCCTTTATCGCGCGTCCCAATTATACGGGTTGACTGTCTACATTTTCGGAGCTCCCCGCGGATATGCTGGATCGGCGCTGGGCCCCCAGGGCCACTGGCCCCGATCCAAGAAGTCCGCGCGGAGCTTGGAAAGCCTATGCTTGTGCAGTCTGCGCGGTGCCTCTGGAGGTCAGCATTTTCCCGACGTTTCGCAGCCTCGCCTCGACGTCGCTGTTCGAGAGGCTCGTGGGGCGGCGTCGTGGCGCCGGGGGGCGGGACGCGACGCGGGCTGGTGGCCAGCGCGGGGTTATACCCCACGTTACCCTGCTCAGGCAGTACCGCATGCACCCGAGCATCAGCGCTTTCCCGAACGGTGAGTTCTACGACGGGAAGCTGGTGGACGCGCCCGAGACAGTCCGGCGCCGTGGTCACCACTTCTCTTCAAGCCCAGACTCCCGCCTCGCAGTTGTGGACAATCAGACGCCGCATGGCAGTCTGGAGTTGACGCATGATGCCCAGGGCCAATTCGAGCTGGACATGAGCCTCTGCAACGAGGGCGAGGCCGAGCTGGCTGGGGACATAATCCACTGGCTGCTGGGACGAGGGGTGCAGCCGAGAGACATCGCCGTAGTGACGCCATACCGCGCCCAGGCGCTTCTTGTTAAGAACAAGCTGCTGGCCACGGTGGGTGATGGCCCAATCGCCGTAGGGACTGTCCACCTTCTGCAGGGCGAGGAGAGGGACTACGTAGTCCTGAGCCTGGTGATCGGGGGCAACATTAGTGGGGATCCGTTCAGGGGGATTTGCCTAAGAGGGATATGCTCAGGGGGAGGCTGAAAGCCCCCCCCGCACAGGAACGTGTCGATGTGCTTTTGGGGACGTATCGCCGACCTGTCGGCGATGTATCGCCGATCTGTCGGCGATGTATCACTGATTCCAGGTTGGTTTCCCCACCTGAGCAACGGAAGAAAACGGGATCGTCTTCACCGACATCGGCGCGCAAGCTGCCCGCGTAAGGTCGCGCGAAAGCGCCCTCGCCTCCATTGTGGCGTGCCTCGCTGGTGGCCCACGTAAGCCGCGGCGTAAGGTCGCTACAGCCAAGACGCTGAAATAAGGACCGCTTTGGGTTCGGAAGGGACTCGCTGTTCCTTAAGCTCTTCCATAGCTGTTCCTCTATCATT